TCATGAATTTCTGATCTGCAAGTGTCTAGAATTTAATGTAATAATATTATTTAAAACTCTTTCTTAAATAGTTGTTTACTTACAGTCATAGGAAAGACGTTTGTGTAGAGGCAGAAGGTTCAAATATATAGGAACATAAAGACCACTTTGCATTTCAACTTTGGTGATTAGGTTTGCTTTTGATTCAGAAATGGGAAAAATTCAATTCAATCTTTCTTAAATATGATAAACAGAGAGAATTCTCTAGGGAAGTTTGAGAGCAGAATGTAATAGAGCAATTCATACATGCTGGACTTTTCCTCTTTATGTGATAGTGATTTGGTAGTTACTGGAATTGCATAGTTCAAGCTGAAGTCTTCCAGTGCTGCCCAGGAAAGGTAAATTTCTTGAATGACATTGCGTATGTAGACATGCAGTTACTTTTATCGTAGTGAAAACCCAGCTCTCCTTATTTCCCCCTTGTGATTGCAACTTCTAGTTACATCGTGCATTTTTAAGAATATGAAGGATAAATCCTTCATCCATACCCGTTTTCCTGTGACTTCTTAGGATTGATCTCTGTATTATTTGTTGAAAGTGGAAGAGAAGGCAGAATCCAGATTTGTTATCAGAGATCATCAATATTGGTTCTCCTTGGCTTTGCTATGTTCTGTTTCATTAAAATACTCACCTGTTCTGATCTGTAAAGTAGTGTTTCTTTGTCAGTATCAAAAAAACTTTATGAACAAAGCTTGCCTCTGTTTCTAACTGCTTCTGTTTTCTGGCTGAGTTCTCAAAATTTAATTTAATTTTTCCTCTTCCCCCCCCCCCCCAACCCGGGGTTTATACCCCCCCCCCCCAACCAGGTGTTATTAGCAAGTGGTGGTGTAGGGTGAGAGTGTTAAGAGCAGCTTTTCACATTGTATTGGCTAATCCTGTTTTCATGTTAAGTCTGATGGTGGATAACCTTGGTTTCTAAAAAGACCTTTTTTAGTTTATGCTAAAAGGTAGTGGGTTTTTTTTCTGCTTAGCCTATACACAGTGCCCTTAGATGTTTTATGTAACATCATTTATAGTGTTTTGTAATTGCTGAAGTGACTTTATTTTGGTACAGCATGTCTGCCAAATATTCTGACTTGTTGAGCGCATTGGCTCCTAGCCACACCTTCAGAGGTGTTTCTCTTCTTGGATTTACATCCAACTCAAGTTTTATTTATTAAATAAATAAATCCCACTCAATAATCCAGTATTTATTCAGCACTCCAAAGGACTGCTCAAGTGTTGAAACTGAAAAATTCTTTAGCTCAGGGCATGAACCTGAAAGATACTGATGGTTCTTGGGCTCGGATGCAGTAGCGGTCACTGGGGTGCATGGCAGGTGGAAGCGTGGCTGCAGCACATGATGATACACCAGGTGAAGTTCAGTCTTGCTGGCTTTGTACTGATGTCAGCATAGCCACAGCAGTGCAGGTAGTGTAAGCCAGCCTAGGATTTGATGCTTACGTGGTTTCCAGAAGTTGTGCTGCTAAGAGCTGTTTCAGTCCTAGCTAGCTCCGCTGTGTCAGCATGGTCTGTAGACTGAATGTCACCCTGTGCTATGGAGATGTATCTGAAGAGCTTTTCAGCCAGAAAAGTACAGTTGCATTAGGAGTGGAGCTGGGCATTTGTTTAAAAGCTAGGCACCTACTCGGTACAAGGTGAAGAACAGTGGATTTTTGCCTCCAGCTAAGCAGAATCCTACCTACACTGGACGTACAGTACAGGTTTTAGTTCAAATAGCAAGCTTTACCAGTTTGAGACTGATCCTCGTATGACCCGTTGCATGCAGACCTATACTCACCCAGAAGTTGAGAGAACACTTTCCATGTACTCAGTCTCTGATCTCAGTCTTTAATGTACCTGACACTGTCTTGGCTGATCTACCCTCACTTGTCACCCTGGGTCACTAGTAGTGCGTTTCTGTCACGCTGGGGAAATGAGGTCTGACTGCATGTACTGGCTCTAGGTATGTAAATCCACTGTCCTGGCCCCGGAGACAAAACTCCTGCTGACAATTAAAGGCAGTCTGCCATTCCCTGGCCTAGGTAAGCACCTGCTGTCAGAAAATAAACACCAATTTTATTGGAGGTGTTAAACTACAGGCAATACTCCACAGTCCATTTTGCAGCTCCTGGGGGTGACAATGCATAGTTTGAAAGTCTGAAATAAAATAAGGATTATTTTTATATCCAAGGGAAAACTGAACATGTGGTTGACTTAAAAACAAAGTCAAAACCCAACAGTCTCATTTAATCCAGTATTTAGTGGAACTGTGCTGCTCAACAGTGAATACTGATGCTAAAACTTTAGTGTGTGTATTGGCATTGAAGTGCAATTTTAGTTTTTTTCACCACAGCACGCTATCCTATCTTTTTGCAGCACTTAGGAGAAGGGGATCTCTAGAGGAAAAAATAAGGGAAACAGTCTAAAGATTGTTGCACTCTTGGCTTGTTGGCTTATCATGTGCCCCAGTAGTCACCTCTCTTGTGAAAGAAAGCAATATACAGTTTCTTATAAGTAACTGCTTAACAGATAATACTTGCATGTTACACAGGGAATCAATATTTAGAAACTTTCTTGAAATGCTGCTGGAAATCTCACAACACTAAGCCACACAGTATAAAATCACAGATTTTATTTTGGAAACTAAGTGTCCTTAGTGTTCACCTAATGATGATAAAATAACATCACCTAACTATGTTGCACTTCATTCGTGTTACTGATTGCAGTGTGCAAGGAAGAAAGGTCTTGAGTGAGCTTTTGTGTAAGAACCTGGTTTCACCAAGTGTCTGATGCTGGTTTTGATACATGCAAGGAATACAGATAAATGACGCTCTGAGTTTTGTTTTTTTTCCTTTCCTGGTAAATAACAGTGCGGTTCCCAAAGACAAGGACAGGCAATGCTTTAAACTCCGCCAAGGAATTGACAAGAAGATAGTGATTTATGTCCAACAGACAACTAATAAAGAACTTGCTATTGAGAGGTAATGTCATCGATTTTTTTAAAACTCTTTGTCTGTTTGATGTTTTGGGTTCTTTCCTCTGAGGCAGCAGATTAGTAATTGTTCTATGAGTACACCATTTGTGTTATTTAATGCCACACCTCTCTCTTGAGTGGAATTGTGCAGAAGATCAGATCGGTTTGTTCAGCACGTGTGTGGCAGGGGGCACAACACAGGCACAGTCAAATCTTGTACAGATCTGGTTGTGGAATCAGTGGTCGTATCCCCTCTAAATACCCATTTCAAAATCTTTTTTAAAAAACATACTGCCTTTATTTTCAGTGGCCAGTTTGTCTTAAATGCTGAGGCTATAATCAGTGACTGATTTATTTCAATTTGCTTTCTCTTCATCTCTGTTGCATCTGACAATATTGTTGTATGTATGCTTTGAGTCTGCCACAGCCTGGAATTCTAGAGTATGAAGTGTTTGTGTAGGTTTTTTTTAGAGCTCAGACTCCAGATCTTCCACTGCTTAGAATTAAACTAGTGTTTTTTGACTACTGGCAGAGTTTAGTGCTGCTCATACTACAGAGAAAAGACACAGCTTCTGCCAGCCTTTGCAGTCTGAAATGAAATGCAGGACAGTGTGGTAAACCAGAGGATGAAGTGGAATATACCTGTGTGGGCCAAGAGTCTTTGTGAAATGAAGCTGTAAAAGACAGGACTTCATCTGATTCTTGTCTGTATCAAAGGGTAAATTCTATGCAAATATGTCTCCAAAAAGAGAGGGGGGAAAAAAGAAAAAGGAAATTAAAAGAAGGGAGGAAGAGTGCAGGCCAAATTGTCCTGCAGGATAGGGAACCCTTGTTAGCAGTGTCTGTTTTACACTGTTCTTGCAAACAGAGGTAATTAAACAACTTTCCAGGCTACTGTAGGCAGGGTAAAATCATATGGTAAATATGCTTATAAAATCTTGCTCGACATTTTTAATATTGGCTTGACATTGTTTTGCTTGACATGCTTGAAGCTGCTTTCAAATGTCAAGTTTTGTTGACATTTGTTACTGGATTCATGGGCTGCTTGTGATGTATGACAGCAAACATTTAGATAAGGAATGTTAATGGTTTGTTTATGAGTAAGTCTAATTTTTGCAGTTCAATTTTGTGCTTGGCTTTGCAGATGTTTTGGCCTTCTCCTTAGCCGTGGGAAAGATGTTCGGAGTGGTGACATGCACCTTTTAGATCTGGTAAGGATCTTTTTATTAACAAAATTCAGTAATAATTTGATTATGACTGTGCATGATCTCAGGGTAGACAGAAAAGATTTAGACGCTTATGCACACTTGTTGATGGGGATTGATGCTGTAGCTTACGCTATTGAGGGTGAGGCTCTGGGCAACTGGGCTGAATCCCTGCCTCTGCTACAGAGTTAGAATATGACCTGATGCTCGGTCAAGGGAGTTGCCCAATTTTGCAGTCAGTCATGACTGCTCTCAGTTAGGGGCCTGAAATAAGAAACCTGGAACCTTATTTTTGGAAGTGCTGAATATTAAAGAGCTGTGCTTTCAACATAAAAAGTTTTATAGCATACTTATCACTGTAAAAATTGAGGCCTAAGTGGCTTCAAATATAACACTGAGAATTAGTGGGCACTTTATTTTTGTGACTCACTTTTCCAGCTATAAAATGGTGATAGAGATCACCTGACTTCACAAGTGTGTTGTGAAGACAAACTTGCAAGTATTTATGAAGTACATGCTTGTTACAGTAGTGAGTACGCAAAAAGGTCCAATGCTGTGTGAATAATTTTGCTCTTTACCAGGCTTTGGATTGCCCAGAAAATAAGATTGGTGAGAAGACAGACATGCTGAACGCTAAAGATAAAATATTGACTTGGTTTTTAATAGCTGAATAACGTGTTTTGTATGGTGAATAAAGATGGATCTCAAGATGTTTTACAGTAAAATTTATTTTATAAAATAGCTACTTAGGATAAAATAAAACACATCTGGTGTATTAAAACATCACAGTGAAGTAGAAGGGGTGTTAATCTGAAACATCTGCCAAGTTTACAAGTTCAGCAGCTTGTGAGAGAGTGTTCTGATTTAATTTGTTTTCTTGTATTGGAGACAATTAACTACATCCCCTAAGTTCATGATTAAAGCCTTGTATGTTTAAATGCTTTACCACTCAGGCAGCAGTCATTCAGAGACTGAATGATGCAAAATGAGGCCAGAATGACTGGATTGCCTTGGATTTTCGAGAACAACTTAAAAGAAGCTTGAAAAGGTGTTTCTTTTTTTGGTTTGTTTTTTTTCCTGTTTGGTTTGTGTTTTTTTGTGGTGGTTGTTTTTGTTGTTGTTTTTTCCCCAAACAGCAACAAAAAAGCAACGCCTTTGCAGCTTGGAGTCCTGTCTTTCCAAGTACTTGGCTATGATCTCGCCTAGACCTCTGTGAGCTGAAAGTTGCTGTCAAATGGCCACCTCCAAAATGAGCTATTGGTCTTCAGGTATCACTAGACAGATGTTCATACCACATACCTATGTAACAATTAGTATTAATTGGCCTTTTTGTGTTATCAGCAAGGAGACCAAAGATTGCATGGTAACTCTATTCTTTTCTTCAGAGATGATCTCTATTACAGGACTGTGTCACATGGACTTTGGATGCTTGCCCTTCTCTTGCCAATCCAGTAGCTGTTTGATGGGGCTGAGACTTCATAATATAGAGATTTCTTTAATTTAAATAAAAATACATAAACTTACTTTATTTCCAGGAGTCCATGGGTAAAAGTTCTGATGGGAAATCTTATGTGATCACTGGGAGCTGGAATCAAAAATCTCCACACTTCCAGTTTGTAAATGAAGAAACACCAAAAGGTATGAACTGTGCCAGATATTATCCCGAGCCAGGGCAAATGACTTACATAGTGGGCATCGGATAACTCTCTTTTAAGATGAATCCCACAAAAAGACTTTCATAGTATGGGATATATTCTCAGAAAGAGGATGCCAGATGTAACAAAAAAACCTAAACAAAAAAGAAGGCTAAAAGAAAACTCCTGTGTTCAGTAGTAATACCTTGTAGGTGTTACCTAGTAGGAGGCTGTATAGGTCTGGGGGCAGGATGCAAATGCTTTGCACACCATTAGAGCTTCTTAAGAATCCCATTGAGAATTGCAGTAAATGACTATTGCAGATTTCTTTGCTTAGTTTCTGGGGTCAGTTCAGATTTTTCTGAACCCAAGTTTTTAATTAAAAAAGAAGGATTCCTGTACCTATGAAAAAGAAAGTAGAACACTCCCAGCTGTAATCTGAAAATAGCTGATGCTGCATTGCTCTCTTGAGTCTTGAAACAGATCTGTCATTACTTCTTTTAAGATGTCAGCTGAATTACCATCTTTTCAATCTGTTGTCACAGTTGCATGCGAAAGGTTGGGGAACTTAATGGGAATTGACTGGTCAAAGTCATAAAAGTCAGCTGCTGGCTACAGCTGGGTACAACCTGCTGCTAGATTGAATGCCATCCTACCTAAAGGACACAATTTATCATTTAGTACCAGAAGAGATCTCATAGGTCACTGAGTCCAGTTGCCTCCTTTTGGAGCATCGTACTGTCTAGTCAGTTTTCTGAATCCTACAGCTGAGATCATCCTAAATGCTGCCTTTAACATTGTGAGACTTAAGCGTTGTCTAAGTAACTTCTAAAAACAGAAAAACAACTAAAATATCATTAGGGTAGATGGCAAGAGATCTGCACTGTGGAGTTAAGTATACAGATCCTTTATAATGTTTAATGAAGATTTTTGATACATTTCAGTGAGATTTGGAAAAGCACAATTTTTATTCTCTTTAACCAGATCATTTTCTGGGCTTGAACACTTAAGTTTCCTTACTCTCTAGTGGATAGTGCAGAATCATCTTATTTTCCTATTTTGAAACTTCTAGGGTTTTGAGATGTTAAATTAGGGAAAAAATTGAATTCTGCAAGAAAGTTTCTTTTGTTCTTTCATGTTACTAGGAAAGAGGTTATGGAATATTTTGTTTGAAATACTTCTTTTTATACTATTGCTTTGTTTTCTCTCTCTAGATAAAGTATTGTTCATGACTACCGCTGTGGATTTGGTAATAACTGAGGTTCAGGAACCTGTTCGATTCATTCTGGAGACTAAAGTCAGAGTTTGTTCACCTAATGAGAGGTTGTTCTGGCCCTTCAGCAAACGTAGCTCTACTGAAAATTTTTTCCTAAAATTGAAACAGGTAACACTTTAAAAAAATAATAAAGAAAATAAAACCTACAGTTAATTTGGGATTTGGCAAGGTTGTTTTTCAAATATAACTGTGGTACATCAATAATATTGTTTCAAGACTTGAGAGGTAGGTTTATGGTATAATGCTGAACAAATATAAAGGAGGTAAAGACAAATTGTAGTTTTTAGTGCCTGTTGGCAGATCAGAATTTCACTATGGTTATTTTTCCCCTATGATTGGTAAAACCTTTACTAATATAATGTTCATATTTCAACATTTTGCTCCTGAATCAAAGAGATACAATAAATGCTGTTCAGTTTTAGAAAAGCTATCCTTCATTATGCTAATTGTTGCTTGCTATCTAAATTTCCCATAAAAAGCTGGATGTCCTCATTTCAAAGTGAATTTTGATAGCTTTGATGAGGCTGCAACATTACATAGAGGATTATGGATTTTCCAGTCAAACCACAGAAATTAAAGGAACAGAAAATTTATCTGCATATGGGGGCTATGCTGAGAGTTGCTTGTTTAAGGGTATAGTAGGGTAAGTATGTGAAATTAAGGGTTAAGAGAAAAAAAGGCTTTAATATGGTCCTGGTGACATGCTATCTTATATGTCAATAAATTGATTTTATCATACAAATCCAACTTTTTTTTTTTGATGAGCAAACATCCACCTGAAATTAGGAAAAAAAAAAAAAATTTTTTTGTGAAAGTCTATTTTCCCCGTCTTCCCAACCATAGGTACATGGTTGGAAGCAGAGATTTCACGTATACCCGAAGTTTGCCCTGGGGAAAAAAAAATCCAAGCAACAAAAAATCCCTAGAACTTGTTAAAAACTTTTACTGTTTTTTCCAACTTACTTTTTTACTCTATTTACTAAAAAGGAAAGGATTATTTCTGTCTAGAATATTCATAACAACAGTGCAAGGCAATAACTTAGTCTCAGAATAAGGCTGGAAAGTTGAAGGTCCAAGTCACTAAAGAGATGATATACTTGACATAGCTGCCATTCTCCTGCTTTAGAAATTATTGTTCTGAAATTAAAGTCCTGTTTAAAGAAATGGAAATCCATAGAAGCAAATAACAATGTAGATGTATGTGTGTTCTCAAGGTTTAATAATTCTGGGTGCAGCCCAAGAAAGCAAGGCTGGAGTCCTGATTTCTTGATAAGTGTTCTTTTTGAAAGAGGTTTTGAATGAAATAAGAGGCTTTTCTTAGTTGTTTTTGCACTTGGCTTAAAGTGCTAGCAAATAATGGCATCTTGGTAGTAACAAAGATGAGGTTCACTAAGGATTCTTGTTTTGTGTGTGTCCTATTTTTTATGTAAAATAGGAATAAATATTTTGGAAAATGTCCTTCAAAATTTAAGGTGGAAAGATTCTTCATGGATGAGATCAGTCTTTTTATTTAGGATATTTTTGAGGTGGAGCCTGGAGATGTTGAACTGTTAAGGCTGTTGGGCTATAAATATTCTACGTACTCCAAAAGGTGCCTTTTCTGTTTGGCACGTTAAAGGAAGCTTATCTTACTTAGCTAATTCTGTATCTTTTGTCTTACCAAATTCACAGGCATTGTGACTTATCTTAGCTAAGTCTCTTTTTTTCCACAGACACTGTCAGGTTATCCAACTTCCAGTGTTTACCAATGGAAGATTATCAAAATTCATAGTGGAAGCAACAAATATAGAATGTACTGCCTGATAAGCCTGGAAGGGAAACCTGTTTCTATGGAGTCATGATTAGGCTATTAAAAATACAGCTGTGTAGGATTGGCTTATCTTACTTTGGCAGTGTTTCTTTATTCAGAAATGGTGAAAGCAAGAGGGATTTTATTTGCTCAGATTACATTTAGTGATTTAGTAATTTTTGGTTTTGATGCATTTCTCTTCATTTTTAATACTGTAAAGGATAAAATTGAGCACTGAGAGCTCACTATAGAGTATAATTATAAATCTTATTTCCCTCTTCTCTTCAACTTCCCTTTTCTACTCTCTATTTTTATTAATTTATGAAAAAAAAAGTTCTAAATCCTGAGACTGTATTAAAATTTTAGAACCACTTCACAAAGAAAAATCTTCCTTTAAAGGAAAGAAAGGTATCAAAGCATTGAAAATTAAGGAGAAAACAGGGCTATGTAATAGACTTTGGAACTCAACAATTTGTGTTCCTGTAGCAAAATATATACAGATATGACTTGGAAGTCGTATCGCTAAAGACTATTGCCATGGTGGGGAAATAAATACGAAAAATTTTCATTAAAACTCTCCTTTTGCCACCATCAGTATCCCCAGAAAGTTAGAGAGAAATTAGAGATAATTTTAAAGGTTTTGCTTTTAATTTTCCACTGATGTTTAAATAAAGGCAGAGTTGCTTCATATTAAGAAACCTTCCTCTCTTAGACCATTTGTTGGACAGATGTATTTACAGCTTTAAAAATCCATGCATTTGTGTCCAGTCCATTTATGGTTGAAAAGATGAGCTACCCGTGGTTGGCAGACCCGAACGAGACTTCTGCTGGATCTGTAACAGATACTGGTGTCTTTTGGGTGCAGCATGCTTACAGCTTGTTCTAGGGCATTGGAGTAGAAAGACTTTCAGGCCTGCATGATGCATTAAGTATACTGCAAGTGTTGAACATTCCTCACTGTAGAATGTCATGAAAATTATTTCTCCGCTCTCCTATTCCAGAAAGAGAAAAGGCAGAGCCTTATGAAGTAATGTGGGCATTTGTATAGCTTTTCTCAGTAAAATGAAACGTGTTTCCTAGATAAAGCAAAAGGACAGAAAGAATAACTCAGACACGTTATATGAAGTTGTGTGCCTAGAAAGTGAATCAGAAAGGGAGAGAAGAAAAACGACAGCAAGCCCCTCTCTTCGTCTGCCCCAGTCTGGGTCACAGGGCTCAATGATTCCTTCTCCTCCAGAGGATGATGAAGAGGAAGGTAAGAAGTGGATTGTATGCTTTGTGTACTTCGAGAGAAAGGGCAGTTGGTAAATAACATAATTATGAAACATGTTGAATCCTTTCCAGTCAGAACCTGGCCTGCTGATGTTTGTTGATTTTTTTTTTTTTTTTTTTTTTTTTCCTTGCTTTAATGCTCGGAGTATTCAATAACCAGTACCCCCACATTCCTGGATCAGCCTCTCCCTTGTCTGACACTTCTGTGTCTCATGCTTTTCTCAGCCCAGACCTCATGAAGCCTCCAGTGTGATATATTTGGAACAAAGTGAAAAGAGGCTGCTAAAAATTTGGTCTTATCATGTAGCTTCTGCCCCTCCCCAAGCAGCTGTGAACAGATTTGAGAGTAAAAATGAGAAGCTGGTATTATTTGGAAATATAAGTGAGCAGTGTATTTTAGCAAAGAGGCGAGTGCAGACATCTGTAATACATAAACTATACCAGGACCTGCCCAGCGTGAAACTTAATGCATTTTCAAGATCTTTTTCCGGCTTTTTAAAAGCTCTGTTAAGCTGAAATATGGACTGGTTCTGATTGTATAGACATCTGGCCTTACAGGTCTGAGCTGAAATGTAGATGACTTGAGTTACTGCTTTTTCACTTTTTCTGCTGGTCTTCTATGTGGCCTTGGGTGAATTGTTTCACTTCTGTGCTTTAATTTCCCCCCGCCCCCTTTTTTTGGGGGGGGAGTGCAGAAGGAGAGGAAAGTTGGTGTGAAATTAAGTCCTATGCAAGTGTTATTCATTAGCAATCTGTAGCCACTATGCTAAACCATAGTGGTATTCTTTTCTAGAGCAGGAACATATATATATATTGTTTACAGTTGATATGACTTACAGCATTGTAAGAGTTTGCTGACAAGTTCAGGTGTCAGTTGAGAAAGCATAGATTTAATGAAAAAGAATATGTTTCCTCAAGAATGCAAACCCAATGTTGAGTATTGTATTAGTGAAATGTAGTTTTTGTATATGATACTTGCTCTGAGTGTTTAAAAATAACTGGGGGTACATTAGTTAGTATTGGTTTCAGAAAGAGTTACTGTGATACAGAAAGTTGTGCTCTTTGAGAATTTTTGTAGTCTTCCAAAAGATTGAGGTAGAAAAATAGAATTACTTCAGTGGGAGGGGACCTCTGGAGGTCTCTAATCGTGCCTCCCACTCAGTGTGAATCCAGCCAGATAGATTGTTCAAGGCCTTGTCCTGTTGTGTGTTGACAGTCTCCAATGATGAAGTTTCCACAACTTCTCTGGGCCCTTGTATCAGTTTGGCCACCCTCATGGTAAATTGTTTTCCTGGTTTTTAACAAGAATTTCACATCTTGCTGCTTGTCTTCTACCTCTTGTCACATCACTGTGCGCCTCTGAGAAGAGTCTCTAGTTCTGCCTTCTCTGTGTTGAGTGCACGAATACTGCATTCGCAGATGAGGGGGAGTTCTTGCTGCACACGGATAGGGTTAAGACAGCAACACTTAAATCTGTAAATGTAGAGTAATGGCTGTTGATCTCATAGGATCTCTTCTGTTCTGTTGGCAGACAATGATGAACCACTCTTAAGTGGTTCTGGAGATGTTTCCAAAGAGTGCGCAGAAAAAATTCTTGAGACGTGGGGAGAGCTGCTGTCCAAATGGTAAGTGGCAAAATCACATTCTGAAAATTACAGTTCTGAGTATTCGCATTCTGTTTGCTCCTTCTTCTTGGAGTTTTTGTTGTTTCCAGAAGCCAGTTGAGATTAGTATGGATTTAGTCCTCTGTCATCCCCACAACACCCCTTATTCTCTGACTTTGTGGTTTTTTGATTTATTCAGAGGGTGCTTTAAGTATTTTCATTTTTGAGTGCATGCTTAAATACTGTATAGAAATTCAGTTATGATATGTCTTTAGGTGGTTCTCTCTTAAAATGAGTATTTTACTTATCTGTGAGTTTCACTGGGGTTTTGTTAAAGAAAAACCTTAACTAAGTAGTATAAAGAAAATGAAACTCTTCCTTTGTCTTTATTTTGCATAGATCACTTCCATTCCTCTTTGTAATTCTGATGTAGTTCACAGCCAATTTTTCCTGCAGCTGTCATATCTGAGTAACTGTAGCTTAAGAATATGGGAGATTTGTACTTGGATAGCGAAGATGCTTTTCCTTCCATGTCTAAAGGAAGATGGCTCCAGAGCCTGCCAAGAAGGAAGTACATGAACTCTTCTGTGGTTTTTTTTTTTTTTTCCTAGAAAATGCCAATTTTCAAGAGTGTTTCTTGACAGTCGAGTTGCTAATGCAACACCTGTCCTCCTTTCATGAAGGATTTTTTATTCATCTTGAAGCAGCCTGAGCAGTTCTAAGAAAGTGATGCTGCTTATTGCAAAATTCAGGGGTTTTTTTGTTGGTGTTTTTTTTTTTTCTTCCCCACAAAGGGAGATGCCAGGCACAATATCAGATTGAGCTCAAATATGCTACATTTTGACTCTATCTTTTGTTGTTGCCGTCTGCTTCCTGATGTTACTGAGGAGCAGGGAAAGGGGCGTACAGCAAATCAAAGATCTGAATAGAATATTAGATCTAAGGAGTAGAACAGCAGAGATCAGAGTAAGTCATGGACTTTAGATGAGGAAAAGTATTGATGTGACCACTTAGCCAAGATTCTCTTTAAATTAAGATTTTAACAATTTAGCATTATTTTTTTATTTTCTGCAATTACTTAGTACTTATTTGAATAAGTACTTTTACTTCCAGTTTGGTTTTGCACTAAATTGGTAAGAAAGCCGACGTCAGAAATGGACACATTTGTAAAAAGGGGTAGGCTGTGGTAAAATGGTGTATGATCCCTTTTCCCTCCCTCTCCTCGACTTGTGGAAACATCTTTAACAGATGAGCTCTATGCATCTGCTGCTCTGAGAAAGTTTCTTTCAACTTGAATTTTTTTGTAATTCTTCCAAGGGCTCAAAGATAATTAAGCCACCTGACTCCCATTGAAAATGTTTTGGCAGCTCTAAGAGGATATGAAGTGCTTCTGTGCTAATGCTGGCAGCTACTTTAATATGTGTTAAAGGGCTTTCCTTCTTAACTAAAAATGAGTATTTGGAAGTAATGATCCTTGAGCTTTTAACATAAGAGGATTGAAAATAATAAAAATCAGAGCTCAGGTAGTTTCATGCTAGTGTTTTAGAATCCTGTAGTTAGATTTGTATAGTAATTAAATATGCATTGGTATTTTGTGATTTCTAAATAATATTTGGCTCGTATTTCATAACTGCTGAGTCATACAATTTTCTCATTTCAAAGTAGTTTGGAAGAATCTAGTAGTATGTGGTTTTTAGTCTGCAGCCATGGAGTTCATAACTGTATTCATTGGAATTACTGTTGTACTTATTCTGATTTGAGATTAAGGCAAAGCAGTTTTATAGGCCTTTACAAAGAATTTGAATATTTTGTATACAACAAGTATTTTATATAAATATTTTTAT